CGCCTACCCCATTGCTGGCAATGGCAAAAAAGTCACGATACATCGCGATATGTCACATGACGTTGACACCCCTGCCCTAGATTCACCTCCCGCTCTATTCTTCCACCAGGATGGCCACACAAAAAAAGTGGAAGCTTCTGCTTCCATTCTAAATAAATCAAACCATAACTTACGTGCAATTCCTAAATGGTACCTGACCATCACTAACAACATACCTTCATATATTACAGTTTGAAGTAATGAAAATGGAAGCAAAGTCTTCTACATTAAACACGAGATGAATGAGAACTGTTGGGACCTAAGGCTTGCTAAAGATTAGAGTGGATCACTTTTCCACAACTGTTACATGTGTTAGGATCACTACCCTCGTATGTTGTCTGTACATATGGCAGGCTACAAGTTATAGAGAGATAGCCCAACTTCTCCATTTTTGAGACAGAAAGTTTGAGTCTGTTTTAAAGCAAAAGGGAAACTTCAAAGATGGAACTGGAACTGAAACTGAACACTGAAGCTGGGATGAGTACTGGGGTCCTTTCAATCTCCCCAGTAATATCAGAATTAACCAATTATAATATCCAGGAAGCCTAAAGTCCAGGAATCAGAGGAACACTGCTATTCACAGAAAAGTAGGTAAAAACATTTAACAAGGAATGTTTTGCAATGCTAATCTTTGTATTGCTGCACCGCACAAAAATCTCCTTTCTTTTCTCTGAATAAATGAAAGAAGTGTATTCATGAAGTTATACCATTTCAACAAAATCTTGAATTATAAAGCATAACTCCAATGCTTTAAAGTGGGCAAGGTCTGTTTCTAACAGACCAATGTCATTCTGCAGTCTGCCTTATTTCAGACATGGTTTTTTTTTTCTTTATTTTTAAATAAAGTTTGCTTTTGCTTATCTCTAGTAAAGACTGTCCTGGGAAGGGAGGGCTAAAACCTTTAATCATATACTTCTAAGTTACAGTTAGGAAGTTACATTATAGAAAATATTTTCTTTAAAAATATTTTTATCTTTTAATTGTCAGAAAGATTGTAAGGGGCCTCTCACAAACTAGGATTGAGGATGCCTGGTGAAGTACAATCCACCCACCCCCAGAAGGCTTCTGAGAGAGGTGATACAAGACTTTCTATCTTACAAGCTCAGCCACTCTGCTATAAGGTCATGTAACATTCTGATTATTTCTAAGATCAAAATGTTTAGCCCTAACTAGCCTATTTCTCAGTATATGCTTGCCATGTACAGAAATTTGCAGAAGACTTTTCAGGATAATATCATTCAAGTGCCTGTAGCTTGACAGTCATTTTACATTTTCCCTGAATTTCATGAGGAAGATTGCATTACTTTCAATAGTTATATTGTTTGGGGAAAAAAACAGTGGAACAGGAAAAAAATTGTATTCACTGAAATTGTAATGCTAAAATTGGCATATATTGAGACAGAAAAAAATAGTTACTATGTACCACTACATGGTACGTGTCTGTATGTTATCCTCTAATCTTCAATAACCAAAATGAGATATTATATACCGTATATACTCGAGTATAGGTCGACCCGACTATAAGCCGAGGGACCTATTTTGCCACAAAGAACTGGGAAAAAATGGTGACTCGCGTATAAGCCGAGGGGGCATTTTTCAGCAAACACATTTTTCCGCCTGGGCTAATCGTCCTCTTTGCAACCCCACCCCTCTGCGCGCGATTGTAGCACTTTGCACAAAG